ATTCACTGGCACTTAACAACAACATTGTTTAAACTGTCCACCAGAATGCCTGTGAGTAAATGTAGACAGTAATTACAATAGGGGGTCCATAACCTCATTAATGTTCAACTGTTTCAAGAAGTAGCATATGATCAAGACCCAATAATACTGAAGGAGAAAGTCCAAGGTACATTGAAGGAATTGGCAAAGAACAAGGCACCAGGAATTGCTAGAATAAAAATTGAAATCTTTCAAGAAAGTGAGGCAGCACAGGAGGCACTCACTCATCTCTGCAAAGATATTTGGAAGACAACTGTCTGGCTGACTGATTGGAAGAGATGCGTATTTGTTCCCATTCCAAAGAGAGGTGACCCAACGGAATGTGCAAATCATCGGGCAATCTCGTTGATATCCCATATGAGTAAAGTTTTACTAAAGGTAATATAGAAATGGCTGCAAGTATAAATTGACAGAGAACTTCCAAAGGTTCAAGCCGGATTCAGAAGAGGCAGTGGAACAAGGGATATCATTGCTGATGTCTGATGGATCTTGGCTGAAAGCAGAGAATATTAGAAAGATGTTTACCTGTGCTTTATTGACTATGCAAAGGCTTATGATTGTGTGGATCGTGACAAGCTATGGACAACATTGCGAAGTATGAGTATTCACTCATTAACAACCTATGATATGCTGATGATACAACCTTGCTTGCTGAAAGTGAAGAGGACTTAAAACATTTACTGATGTTTTACATCGGTATGGATTACATCTCAATGTAAAGAAAACAAAAATCCTCACCACTGGACCAATAAACAACATTCTTATCAATGGAGCAAAGATTGAAGTTATCAAGGACTTCATTCTTCTTGGATCAACTATCAACACTCATGGAAGCAGCAGTCAAGAAATAAAACAATGTATTGCATTAGGCAAATCTGCTGCACAAGAACTTTTTAAAGTGCTGAAGAGCAAATATGTCAACTTGAGAACAACTTGAGAAAATACCAAGCCATGGTATTTTCAATAACCTCATATGCATGTGAAAGCTAGACAGTGGATAAGGAAGACTGTAGAAGAATTGATGCTTTTGAGTTATGATGTTGGAGGAGAATATTGAAAGTGCCATTGGCTGCCAAAAGAACCAATAGATCCTTTTGGAAGAAGTGCAGCCAGAGTGCTCCTTGGAGGCCAAGATAGCCTAACTTCATCTCTCAGTTACAATACTTCAGACATATTGTCAGGAGGGACCAGGCACTGGAGAAGGATATCATGTTTGGTAAGGTGGAGGGTCAGAGAAAAAGAGGAAGACCCCCAGTGAGATGGATTGGCCAAGTGGCAGCATCGATGGACTTAAACGTGGCAACAATAGTGAGGTTGGCCCAGGATCAGGCAGTGTTTTGTTCTGCTGTGCATGAGGTCACTAAGAGTCGATACCAACTTGATGGCACCTAACAACAAAAACAACCTCATTAAGAATAAAGAAAAGACAGTGTTATTCACACGTTTTAAATAAAATATAGAAAAGGAGAGGGTGTGGTTAAAGGAGGACTTTACTTGGAAATACTCAATGTTTTTAGAGTTTTAAATTCAGGCAAAACCATATGAACACTAATGAGCATATGGGATTTTTGTACTTCCAGAAAATACATCAGCTGAACACTGTCTAAGAAGTCAAATATTAATTGACAACTTGGTGAGCAAAGTGATGAAAGTACTAAGAGTAGAAAATTTTGGCAAGATTTGATCAGTCCTGGAAGATATGGGATGTTTTTAGGGAGGCAGTTGCTTCAGATTGTGTAAGTTTCAGAAATACAGAGACAAAATACAGCTGGCCAAGTTTCCTTCCCTTCCTGTGATAAAGAAGCAATTATGGAAGCAGTGAACTGATAGAAGAGAATTATTGAAGAAAGTAAATATTAGACTAACTATTGGAAGGAGTACCTATTTAGTCCTAATTTGAAACTGCCTACTTTTGAGTCTTTGAATTTGGATTATTATTGTTATTATCATCATCATCATCATCAAATTTGCACTTTAGCATTTGAAAAGTGCACCCATTTTAAAAAAATTGATATAAATATGGTTAATTTACTTTTTTTGATTTATCTTTTTAAGTTTTGAAAACAATATAATCAGGAAAAAAACAACAAAAATATAATCAGGAAAGGTGTGTGCCAGGATTGTATTCTTTCACCAAATTTATTTAATATGTATACTCAGCAAATAATCTGAGACACTGGATTTTATGAAGAAGAACGCGGCATCATGATTGGAGAAAGACACATTAACAATTTGCAATACGCAGATAGTACAACCTTGCTTGCTGAAAGCAAAGAAGTCTAAAATACTGTAGAAGATCGAGGACTACAGCTTTCAGTATGGATTGCACCTCATTGTCGAACAAAAATCCTCACCACTGAACCAATAAATAGCATCATGATAAATGGAGAGAAGATTGAAATTGTCAAAGACCTTATTTGGCTTGGATTTACAGTTAACAGTCATGGAAGCAGGAGTCAAAACATTAAAGTAGGTGTTGCTGCCCAAGACCTCTTTAAAGTGTTCAAGACCAAAGATATCGGTCTGAGGATTAAGGTGCACCTGACTCAAGCCATACTATTTTTAATCACCTCATAGATATGTGAAAGTCGGATAATGAATAAAGGAGAAAGTAAAAGAATCAGTGCATATTTGAAGTATGGTGTTAGAAAAGAGTATTAAAAGTTCCATGGACTGCCAGAAGAACAAACAAATTTGTCTTTGAAGAAGTGCAACCCAAATGTTCCTTAGAAGCCAGGATTGAGAGAATTCGTCTCTCATACAGGTTATCAGGAGGGACCAGTCCCTTGAGGATCAGTAGAAAAGAGCAGAAGACCCAGTGAGATGGGTGTATTTACACAATGACAACAGCAGTGGGCTGAAATATAATCACAGTTGTGAGGATAGTACAGGACTAGGCAGTGTTTTATTCTGTTGTGCATAGTGTCACTATGAGTCAGAACTGACTTTCAGCACCTAACGACAACAAAACAATATTAAACCTCAAATAAGATCGGAAAGATTTCAGTGGCCTTGCATAGCATATTGTAGGTAGTCCTAATTGCTAACGCTCTATAAAGTTTAATTAAGATCACTGTTCTTGGGTATTGTTTGTGGTATTGATTTTGTTTTCCTATTTACTTGTGACAGTGGTTATGAGAATAGCAGTGACACTTTTTCTCCTACCCCACCTTCCTTAAAAACATGTGAGTATCTCTAAGAGAAGCTGTTCTTTGTTTTCATGTATGATTTTTAGGTGTAGAGCATACCATGAAATGAAAGAGATAATTGCATGTGTGTTATAAGATAGAATGGTGGTGTACTATGGGAATTGCTAACTAGACAGGAGGCTGAAGTACTGGTCTCAAGACTGTTCTGCTTGTGCCCCTTTGGAGGACTTTGCTCACATTTCCTCTTTCACCACCACAGAGCTTTAGTTTCCTCACCAGCACTATGCATGTCTTTGGCTACATGGCCTTTGGGTCTCTTTTAACTTCTTCATGCCATGAAATAACAACATAAGTATTTCTGTATATTATCTTTCACTCTGCTGGAGTGAATGGGCTCTTCTAGGTGACTCTTCCCAGGGTCTCTCATGGTGACTGGTGCTTCAGTCATTTCAAATGCTTCCTTACTAACATGTCTGATAGTTAATGTTGCCTGTTGGCTGGAACTTCAGCTGGGGTTGTTGGCCTCTCCATGTGATCTGGGCTCCTTCAGAAGATGGAAGCTCTATTCTAAATGCAGCGAGCCAAGAGAGAGAACCAAGCAACTGTTATGTTACATTTCTTGATCTAGTGTTAGAAGTCACACCACACCAATTCTGCTGCATTCTTGCATATTGTTAGTATTAAATATTTAAGACTGACCCATATTCAAATAATTTGTGGGTATTATAAAAATTAAAGGTGGTCATGAGTATGAGTGTGTGTTGAGTATGTAAAATGGTCCTTTATTTTCACTTCAAGTTATCCGTTACTCTGTAATGTGAACCATTCTGTAGAGTCCACACAAAGCTGAAGATTCATGTGTGACTCATTTAAACATTAATGGAGTTCCTTTGTAATGAAATTTGGTTCAGAAACCTTCAACAGAGGATAATAATTGTGTTTTTTTTTAAATGATTATATCAAGCTGGAGATGGGGTTGCTCATACTTTTATTAACAAATGTATGTATCATCTTCTAATCTTGAGCACTAATGCTCGGAATATATTTAATTGACCCAAAATTTTAATCGCTTATTGAAACAGTCACTTAATATGAATAGTACTTATGAAATGATGCATAAGCTTGTTCTATTTTATGTTTTGGCAGCAATTAAGTCTTACTTTATAAGAGAATTCTTCTGCCCCACTTTTACTCTCAAAGTGGAAATGAAAGGGTCTGCAGTCCTGAATCTGGTCTTCCTTCCCTTTAATGTCCACATGCGCTATTGTGTCATCATTCTGAGTAATGAAAAGGTGAGAACAGTTTGTGACTTGTGCTTTTAATATGAATAGCCACCTAATGGAATAACAAGGGGAAATACCTCCAAGGCAGCTGGAGGTCTAGGTAATTCTGGCATTCTGCTTTGTGACCACCAGTCCCCTCCCTCAGCAGTCCCTTTAGCAACTCTGAGGTAACATACATAATTGAGAAAACAAAACAATCAATTTTTCCATTTCCTGGATGTTGTGAGGTTGAATTGTATCTTCTGAAAACATATACTAAAGTTCTTACTTCTGTACCTATAAATGTGACTGTTTTTTAGAAATAAGGTCTTTGCAAATACAATCATGTTAAGATAAGTTTCTATTAGAATAGTGTGGGTGTCAATCAAATGACTGCCATCCTTAGGGTAAATGAAGAAGAGGGAAATTTGAACACAGGTAAGCACAAGGAGAATGCCATGTGAAGTCAAAGATAAATATTGAAGTGATGTATCTATAAGCCAAGGAACACTAAAGATTGTCAATGACCACCAGAATCTAGGAAAGAGACATGGGACAGATTCTCCCTCAGAGCCCTCCATCTAGCAGGTACCTGGACTTTAGATTTCTGACCTTCGGAAATTTGAGAGAAAAAGTTCCTGTTGTTCTAAGCCCCCAGTTTGTGGTAAGTTGTTACAGCAGTCAAAATTAATATAATAAAGTCAAGAAGGGAGTTGCCATTGATGTTGTTAAGGGCTGGAAAGTCACTCCGGACTCACAGTGACCCTGTATAGGTCTGAACTGCTGACTTTGCAGCTAGCAGTTTCACACCAGGACTCTACAAGAAGTTAATAGTTCAGCCTTTATTGTCCCTACTTGGCTTCAGGTATATTTATGAGAGTTATTAACAAGTGAGAGAAGAGAGTGACACTGAGCCACCACTGATTTGTCTCCTCCTTTGCCCCTTCCCATCATCTATACCTGACTAGTTCTCCCTTCTTTAAAAATAAGTATGTTTTCCTTCATCTTTTAAAACAATTCTCTATTCTGATTTCTTTTACATTCCCTCATGGCATAACCTGATCAGGCTCCTTCTACCCATATGTCTACCTAATGACATAATGTCTACCTAATGACATAATGTCTACCTAATGACATAAGGGACCCGACTCGATGGCACTTAACAACAACAACAACAATGACATAAGGATATTCATTAAAAGTACCCATATTCTATATTTATATTAAAATCCATGAAAGCTAAAGCTTGCTTTACTTCTCAAGTTTCCCAACTCTTCAAAAGTCTTGTGCTGTATCCTGAAACTGAGTTTTATATAGTTCTTATAGACCTGACATAAACTGATGAAGACAGCTCTAAGATTGTGTACTGCATTCAAGTAAATTAGTGTTTAGTATAGCAGTATTGCCACTTTGCAGGTAGGAAAACTGAGGCTTGAAAATACCATAGAAATTATACTAGGTCATGATGGTAGTAAGTGGTTAAACCAAGATTCATATCTAGATTTTCTGATCCTACATGTCATGTACTCTCATAGGTTCACTTATAAATGAAAATCAATATAGTTTATTAAGTATTCAAAATAGAGTTGAATTTTACACTTCAAATTACCACTTAGGAGGGAAAATACGGTTTTAGAGTAATATTGGGGAGTCCTGGTGTGGTGCTGTAGGATAAACGCAGGACCATAAAGTCGGTTTGAGCTATAATATTGGTGGTTCAAACTCACCAATTGTTCCTCAAAACCTTATCCTGTGTTACTATGAGTCAGAACTGACTTGATAGTACTTAACAAAAGAATAATAATAAATATTTTTATTTTATTTAGAAGGATTAATTTTAACTTATTTCCCGTAGTTCAAAATTTATGAAAAATAGGAGCTATATTGTGATCAATAGTTTGATCAAATGTGTCACAATGTTGTTGTTGTTATTAGGTGCCATCGAGTCAGTATCAACTCATAGCAACACTATGCAAAACAGAATGAAACATTTTCCAGTTCTGGGCCAACCTCACAATTGTTGTCATGCTTGAGCCCACTGAAGCTGCCACTTTGCCAATCCATCTCGCTACAGGTCTTCCTCTTTTTCTCTGACTCTCCACCTTACCAAACATGATATCCTTTACCAGTGACTGGTCCCTCTGGACAATATGTCCGTAGTATGAGAGATGAAGTTTGTTCCATCTTGGCCTCCAAGGAGCACTCTGGCTGCACTTTTTCCAACAAACTCTATTGGTTCTTTTGGCAGCCCATGGTACTCTCCTCCAACACCATAACTCAAATGCATCAATTCTTCTATGGTCTTCCTTATTCACTGTCCAGCTTTTGCATTCATATGAGGTTATTAAAAATACCATGGCTTGGGTCAGGGGCACCTTAGTCCTTAAGCTGACATCTTCGCTCTTTGATACTTTAAAAATGTCTTGTGCAGCAGATTTGTCTAATGTAATACATCGAGTGCTTTCTGCTGCTTCCATGACTGTTGGTGGTTGATCCAAGAAGAATGAAGTCCTTAACAACTTCAATCTTTGTTGATAAAAATTCTAAAATGCTAAGGTTAATTATCAATGGCATCAAAATAAGTTGATTATATTTTTTGAATTAAACTACTGGAATATAATCATACTTCAGTTGGCATCTCAATTTATTAAAACATGACTTTTTGATTGTATCTACTTTGTCCTTGTCAGAGACAATACAAGAATGAAACAATATTCATGAAATTATATTGCTGTCAAGTAAGAAATAACACCCTCAATCTAAAGGAGTGCATTGAATTATAATTACTTATGCGAGGAAGGACATCTATTAATTTACATATTCAATTATATTGCCAATTATATTGAAAAATACAATTACACGCTTAAATAGATAACCAAACATCCAAGTCCAACCTAGTTGGTTCTTGTTCTTATTAAATGTGAGATAATTGCTTAGCCATTAAGAAACACCTGTTGAGCTCTGTATAGTAATTAGGTCTCTATTTTATATGTTTCCATGTATAAAACAGAACCATTTCTACTGCCACTGTTGTCATGAAAAGGCCATTTGTTTCATTTTGGCTAGTCCTTTGAACTTCCACATAAAAATGAAATGATTTATGTAAAAGTTCTTTGAAAATAGACATACCTACTGCTGTTGAGTAGAACTGCCCAGGACTACAAATCTTCATTGGAGCAGACTCAGACTGTTGCATCTTTCTTTCCCCCATGGAACATGTAACCAGGGCTCTACCAGGACTTCTTGAAAGTAGAAATCATTTCAACTGAAGTTCATAGAAATTCTAAGGTTAGAGGGGAAAGCTACATAAGACCTAAACATTCATAGTATTACTTTTCAGAAATTTTGGTTTGTGTGTATGGGGGCAGATTGAATGGCAGAAACTCAGGCAGAAGCATGGCTCAGTCCCTGAGGGATTTCACCTTCTGGGAGGAGGAGTTGACAGATCCCCCTCAACAAAAAAAAGGCAAAAAAAACCACTGCATAGTACACAGCTGTGTACTGACACAACCTGGGGTTCTGTCTTCACAGAGGTACCCCAGCATATGAACACCTACTCTGTGAAGTCCTAGGTTCCCAAGGCCACCATTTCAAGTTGTGTTGTTTAGTGTTGTTGAGCTGGTTCCGACTCTTCATGTCCCCATATAGTGTTTCCAAGGAATGACTGATGGGTTTGCACTGCAAACCCAGTGCTTTATCTAACAGCGCTGCACCAAGACTCAAGTTGGATCTGGCAATGCTGGGCTCAGCTCTATGGGGAAGGCAGAAGCTTCAAATAGACTTGACCTAGGGCTAGAGTCAGGAGTGGCTTTCAGCTTAACCATCCCTTTCCAGCAACCCTTGGTTCTTTTTAATGAACCAATCTAGACATCCCTATGTATCAAGTAGATTTCTCACCCAGGTCTTTATTGTCCTTTTTTGTCTGCAAACCTTGCTCAGACCAATTGAGGTCAAAGGCTAGATAGTATTACTTGAAGAATAGAGGTGATACATCGTAGACAAATTGGTACAGTCTCATACCAGGCCTCCTCATTCAAAGTGGGTTTCAGCCTTGCCAAATCTAATAAAAGGTTCACAGGGCAGGGATGCCCACTCTCAGGTGATTTTTTGGTGGTTTATGTGCTGCAACAATTTGATCAGAGCCTATGCCATGCTGGTTATTAAGTCTTTTGAAATTCATCCTGGCCTATTACTATTGTGTAGTTGTTGTTGTTGTTATGTGCCATCGAGTCGGTTCCGACCCATAGCGACCCTGTATAGGGTTTCCGAGGGTGTAAATCTTTACGGGAGTAGAAAGCCTCATCTTTCTCCCGCGGTGCAGCTGGTAGTTTCGAACCGCTGACCTTAAGGTTCACAGCCCAATTGTGTAGTTAGCACTGTTCTATTGACCCTTTGCATTGTCCCTGTTTTCAATCTGTCTTTGTCTCTTCATGTCTCTGCTGATGTAGAGATTCTGCTTGTAGTCTCTATTATGTGTTTTTTGAAACATGCTATAATCAGTGTGTAACTTCTTTCCTCTTGAATTTTCTTCCTTTATTTTAGAATAATTATTAGCCATTTGTTCTTGTAAAGATGACTTTTAAAAAGGTGTGCAGTACTCACACCTTTTTAAAGATAATATTCTTTATCTCATGAGCCAATTTGTTATTTAGCTAAAAGGTGACCTTAGGGTGTAGTTTTAGTTCAAGATTTATGGAGTACCTCACGGTGAGAGTCTTTAGTCTCCATTGGTCCAGTAATTCTGGACTTCTTAATTTGAGTTCTGTTCCATATTTTTATCCCATTCTTCAGAATCCATGTACTTGGGCCCTGAAAGATGGTAGGTAGTAGTACCATCTAATTCTTCTGGTTTCAAGGTAGATGAGCCCATAGTTTATGTAGACTGCTAGTCCTGTAAATTAATTTCTGAGTCCTTTGTTTCCTTTTTTCACTTTTGCTCTAGATGAGAAGAGACCATAGTTGTGTCTTAGATTGCTGCTTGCAAGCCTTTAAGAAACCAGTTGCTACTCAACAAACTAGAATGTAGAACAAACATATGCTAGTTGACCAAGTTTCTCTGTGGTCTGGATCCTCTCATTCTTGAGAGAAACCATAAAATATGGAAAAAGAATATTCAAGTTCTAAAGTTAAGGATCTCTGGTAGTGTAGTGGTTACAACTCAGGCTGCGAACCACAAGGTCAGCAGTTCGAAACTACCAGCTGTTCCGCGGGAGAAAGATGAGGCTTTCTGCTCCTGTAAAGATTTACAGCCTCGGAAACCCTGTTCAGGGTCGCTATGGGTCGGATATGACTCCATGGCACATAACCAACCAACCAACCAACCAAAGTATTTTCTAGGTATAAATTGAGTGAACACGAGAATAGGCTTGATCTCTGCGGGATAATGCACTGAACTTCAAGGTCAGTTTGAACCACAAGGTCAGTTTGAAGCCTATATAGGGTCGCTATGAGTTGGAACTGACTCAATGGCACTTAACAACAACATATTCTACTGGAGGAGGCAAATTTGCACTGGTCCAGTGCACCCAGAGATGATGTGTGAATTTCTAGTGTTCCCTAGGTGGGTGAGAAATGGTAGCTAAGCATGTGTCACATTTATAAAAAAAATTAAAAATACATCCTTTCCCTGTGCTGGGACCCCTTGCCCTTCACCAAGATGCCCTT